AAAAAAAAAAAAAAAAAGACTCATATTAGTAATTATTTTAAGTGTAAATAGTTTAAATACACCAATTCAGACAATGATTGGCCAAAAAAAATTTTAAAACACAACCCAACTATGTGCTAGCCACTGGACACTGACTTCAAACATAACAACATAGGTAGATTGAAAGGGGATGAAAAGGCCAGGCGAGGTGGCTTAGGCCTATAATCCCAGCACTTTGGGAGGCCGTGGTGGGTGGATCATAAGGTCAAGAGATCGAGACCATCCTGGCCAACATGGTGAAACCCCATCTCTACTAAAATATACAAAAATTATATGGGCATGGTGGTGTGCACCTGTAGTCCCAGCTACTCGGGAGGCTGAGACAGGAGAATTGCTTGAACCTGGGAGGCGGAGGTTGCAGTGAGCCGAGATTGTGCCACTGCACTGCAGCCTGGTGCCTGGCAACAGAGCGAGACTCTGTCTCAAAAAAAAAGAAAAGAAAAAAAGAAAAGAAAAAGGATGAAAAAAGAAGCTATATGTGTCTTGGTCCATTTTCTGTTGCTTATAATGGGATATCTGAAACTGGCTAATTTATAAGAAATGAAACTCATTTCTTACAGCTCTGGAGGCTGGGAAGCTCAAGGCCAAGAGGACAGATCTGGTTTGAGCGTTCTGGGTGGTGGGGACTCTCTACAGAGCCCCAAGGCAATGCAGTGTATCACATAGTGAGGGACTGAGGTGCTGATGTGCCCGCTTAGACTTCTCTTCCTCTTCGCGTAAAACCACCACTTTCCCTCCCACGATAACCCATTCATTCATTAATTAATTAATCCAGTCATTAGGGCAGAGGCCTGATGATTCGGTTACCTCTTAAAGGTCCCACCACTCCATACTGCCACACTGGGAATTACATCTCAACATCAGTTTTGAAGGAGACATTCAAACCTCAACAGCATACAAACATTAATTTTTTAAAAATGAGGAGCGAGGCAGTTCGGCGGTCCTGCGATCTGTCTCTTGATTCAAGTGTGTGGACGGAACAGACCCTGGAGACTCTTTCTTCCAGCCTCCGACCAGCCTCCGATTTCCTCTCCACTTGCAACCTCTGGGACCGCCTTCTCGGACACCTCCTGCTTCTGGGGACCTGCTAACACCGTTTTTGTGGTTGGCTCCTTCTTGCCGACCAAGCATGAGCTCCGAGATTCATCAGAATTATTCCCCCGACGTGGAGGCAGCCGTCACCCACCTGTTCAATGTGTACCTGCAGGCCTCCTACACCTGCCTGTCTGGGATAGTATCTGGACCGCGATGATGTGGCCTTCCATGTGATTCATGGAGGAAGGCGGGAGCCACTTCTTCCATGAATCGGCCGAGGAGAAGTGCGAGGCCTACGAGCGTCTCCCGAAGATGCAAAACCAGCGTGGCGGCCGCGCTCTCTTCCAGGACATCAAGAAGCCGGCTCGAGATGAGTGGGGCAAAACCCTGGGCGCCGTGGAAGCCGCCATGGCCCTGGGGAAACTCTGAACCAGGCCCTTTAGGATCTTCATGCCCTGGGTTCTGCCCGCACAGACCCCCATCTCTGTGGCTTCCTGGAGAGTCACTTCCTAGATGAGGATGTGAAAATCATCCAGAAGGTGGGTGACCACCTGACCAACCTCCGCAGGCTGGCCGGCCCTCAGGCTGGGCTGCACGAGTCTGTCTTCCAAAAGCTCACTCTGAAGCACGGCTAAGAGCCTTCGGAGCCCAGCGACTTCTGAAGGGCCCTTGCAAAATAACAGGGCTTCTGCCTAAGCCTCTCCCTCCAGCCTCTGGGCAGCTTTCTGACTACCCGAACAAGCCTTGGACCAAATGGAAATAAAGCTATTTGAAGCAAAAAATAATAATAATAAAATAGCAGGAGTGACTATATTAATATCACATAAAGTAGACTTCAGAGAAAAAATTGCTAGAGATGAAGAGGGATATTGTATAATGATGAAAGAATCAATCCACCAAGAAGACAATAATCCCAAATATATATGCACCAAACAACAGAGCTCCAAAATACATGAAGCAAAAGCTGAGCTGAAAGGAGAAGTAGAAAATCCACAGTTACAGTTGGAAATACATAGAAATTAGATAGAAAATCAGTAAAGACATTGTATTAGGCCATTTTTGTATTGCTATAAAGAAATAGCTGAGACTATGTAATTTATATTTTTTTAATTTATTTTTTATTTTTTATTTTTTTCTTTTTTTTTTAAGATGGGGTTTCACCATATTGGTCAGATCAGGCTGGTCTCAAGCTCCTGACCTCAGGTGATCTGCCCACCTCAGCCTCCCAAAGTGCTGGGATTACAGGCGTGAGCTACTGCACCCGGCTGACGACTATGTAATTTGTAAAGAAAAAAGGTTTAATTGGCTCACAGTTCTGCAGGCTGTATAGGAAACATGGTGCCAGCATCTGCTTGTGGTGAGGGCCTCAGGAGGCTTCCAGTCATGGCAGAATGCAAAGGAGAAGCCAGTACATCACACAGCAAGAGGAGGAGGAGAGAGGAGGGAGATGCCACACACTTTTTTCTTTTCTTTTCTTTTCTTTTTTTTTTTTGAGACAGAGTCTTACTCTGTTGCCCAGGCTGGAGTGCCATGGTGTCATCTCAGCTCACTGCAGCCTCTACCTCCTGGGCTCAAGCAATTCTCCCACCTCAGCCCCCTGAGTAGCTGGGACTACAAGCGCATACTACCATGCCCAGCTGATGTTTTCAATTTCTAGTAGAGAAGAGGTCTTGCTTTATTGCCCAGGCTGGTCTCAAACTCCTGAGCTCAAGTGATCCTCCTGCCTCAGCCTCCGAAAGTGTTGGGATTACAGGCATGTGTCACCATGCCCAGACAATGCCACAAACTTTTAAAGACCTAGATTTCATGTGAACTAATTGAGAACTCACTCATCACCAAGGGGAAGGTGCTAAACCATTCATGAGGGACCCACTCCCATAATCCAACTCACCCCCCACCAGACCCCACCTCCCAACATTGGAAATTACATTTCAACATGAGATTTGGAGGGGACAAACATCCAAACAATATTAGACATGGGAGAACTGAGCAACACTATCAAATAGGATTTAATTGACATTTGTAAAACACCCTAATCAACAACAGCACAATACAGCCTTTTCAAGTACCTAATGGAATATTAATCAGGATAGACCATATCTTGGGTCATAAAGCAAACCTTAACAAATTAAAAATAATTAAAATCCCTGACCATAATGGAATTAAACTAGAAATCAATAACAGAAAGACAATAGAAAAAAATCTCCAAATGCTTGGGAATTAACCAACACACTTATAAATAATTTGCGAGCAAAAAAGAAAGCCTCAAATAAAACATACATAGCCGGGCGCAGTGGCTCATGCCTGTAATCCAGCACTTTGGGAAGCCGAGGCAGGCAGATCACCTGAGGTCAGGAGTTCAAGACCAGCCTGGCCAACATGGTGAAACACCATCTCTACTAAAAATACAAAAATTAGCTGGGCATGGTGGCGGCATCTATAATCCCAGCACTCAGGGAGCTGAGGCAAAATAATCACTTGAACCCAGGAGGTGGAGGTTGCAGTGAGCCAAGATCATGCCATTGCACTCCAGCCTGGGTGACAGAGAGAGACTCTGTCTCCAAAAAAAAAAAAAAAAACAGAACTAAATGCAAATGAAAATACAACATATCAAAACTGGTAGGATATCTCTAAACCACTGCTGAGAAGAATTTTTTTTGTTGTTGGAATCTCTGTCTGTACAGTGGCATGATCCTGGCTCACTGCCACCTCCACCTCCTGGGTTCACGTGATTCTCCTACCTCAGTCTCCCGAGTATCTGGGAGTACTGGCGCCCACCCCCACACCCAGCTAATTTTTTGTATTTTTAGTAGAGATGGGTTTTGAGATGTTGCCCAGGCTGGTTTCAAACTCCTGAGCTTGGGCAATCTGCCTACCTCGGCCTCCCAAAGTGCTGAGATTATAGGAGCAAGCCATTGCACCCTGCTGAGAAGAAAATTTATAGCATTAAATGTGTACATTAGAAAGCATGATAGGATTTATGTCAATAATCTAAGCTCTGATTATTTAGATAATCAGAAACCAGAGAAGAGCAAAATAATCTCAAAGCAAGAAGAAAGAAGGAAATAAAAATAAGAGCAGAGGCTAGGCGTGGTGGCTCATGTCTATAATTCCAGCAGCTGGAGAGGCCAAAGAGGGTGGATCACCTGAGATCAGGAGTTCAAGACCAGCCTGGCCAACGTGGTGAAACCCTGTCTCTACTAATAATACAAAAATTAGCCAGGCGTGGTGGCGTGCACCTGTAATCCCAGCTACTTGGGAGGCTGAGGCATGAGAATCACTTGAACCCAAAAGGCGGAGGTTGCAGAGAGCTGAGATCATGCCATTGCACTCCAGCCTGAGAAAAAGAGAAAAACCGTGTCAAAAAAAAAAAAAAGCAGAATTCAATGTAAAGGAAGCCAGGCACAACAGCTCATGCTGGTAATCCCAGCACTTTGGGAGGCCAAGGCAGGTGGATCACTTGAGCCCAAGAGTTCAAGACCAGCCTAGGCAATATGGCAAAACCCCATCTCTACAAAAAATACAAACATTAGCTGGACATGATGGCATGTGCCTATAGTCCCAACTACTCCGGAGGCTAATGAGGGAGGATCACTTGAACCCAGGAAGTCAAGGCTCCAGTGAGCCAAGATCGTTCCACAGCACTCAAGTCTGGGTGACAGAAATTTCTTGTCCAAATAAAAAAAGTCTCTGTGCCCAGACAGTTTCACTAGAGCATTATCCAAAACATTTAAAGAATTAACACCAATTTTATACAATATCTTCCAGAAAACAGAAGAGTTGGGAACACTTCCAGACACATTTTATGAGGCCCTGAAATCACAAACAGACAAAGACAATTCTAAAAAAATAACAATAGACAAGGCACAGTGGCTCACGCCTGTAATCCCAGCACTTTGGGAGGCCAAGGTGGGCGGATCACCTGAGGTTGGGAGTTCAAGACCAGCCTGATCAACATGGAGAAACCCTGTCTCTACTAAAACTATAAAATTAGCTGGGTGTGGTGGCGCATGCCTGTAATCCCAGTTACTCGGCAGGTTGAAGCAGGAGAATCATTTGAACCCGGGAATCAGAGGTTGCAGTGAGCCAAGATCAAGCCACTACACTCCAGCCTGGGTGATTGAGTGAAATTCTGTCTCAAAAAAACCAAAAAGTAAGAAAAATGCAAATGGAGACCAGAATAAAATGTCGCTACACATTTATTAGAATAGTACAAATAAAAAATAGGGATAGCACCAAATGCTGGCACAGAAGCAAAGAAACTGGAATGGAAAACGGTACAGCCCGTCTGCAAAATAATTCAATGATTTCTTATTGTCAACAAAGAGTCAAACTCTGCAAAATATTTGATGAGATTTATTCTGAGCCAAATATGAGCGACCATGGCCCATGACACAGCCCTTGGGAGGTCCTAAACATGTTGCCTAAGGTGGTCGGGGTATAGGTTGGTTTCATACATTTTAGGGAGACATGAAACTTCCATCAAATACATTTAGGAAATAACATTGGTTCAGTCCAGAAAGGTGGGACAACTCAAAGTGTGAGAGTGGAATTCCACGTTACAGGTAGTTTTAAAATTTTTCTACTTAGCAATTGGTTGAAACAGTTATCCATAGAAAGGAATGTCTGGGTTGAGATAAGAGATTGTGGAGATCTAGGTTTTATCACATAGATGAAGTCTCCAGGTAGCAGGCTTCAGAGAGAATAGATTGTAAATGTTTCCTATCAGACTTCAGGTCTGTGTTGATGTAATGCCTGAGAAGTATAATGAAGCATGTCTCCACTTCCTGTTATGGCCTGAACCAGTCTCTCAGGTCAAATTTTAGAGTGTTCTGGCTGGGGAGGAAGTCCATTCAGATGGTTGGGGACCTTCGAATTTTATTTTTGGTTTACATTATGTGGAAAGTAGGAATGTTCCTCTTCAAAGTCTTCTTTCTTGTTAAAGAATAAATTTGCTAATAACTCTTTGTTTAGCCCTATGCTATGCAGCTGTTAGACACGCCATGCTTACAGGCATGTAGTAAGTATATTCTATGTCCTTGTGCTTTAACCAAGATATCTGTGCTGGACGTGCTCACAAGCATGTTCCAGCTCTCGGCCTATGCCCCTTGCCTGTTTTAAAATGTTTTACTTTATTAGCCAATTGGGTTTTAGTTTAGAGTGTGAGGTCTGGCTCCAACCAATGGAGATCAGACACAGCAATAAGGACAACCCCAAATGCGTAAGGGATAAATATGTCTGCTTATCCTTTGTTCATTGCACTCTCATAGCAAGATGGCTACCCTTCCTGCAGTGCAGGAAGTACAAATTGCTTTGCTGGAATATCCTTTGTCTCAGTGCTGAGTTTTCTTTGTGGCACCAAGCATCTGCTTCATTATAAACTAAACATGTAACTATAAAACAACCAGCACTAACAGTCTTAGACATTTATCCCAAAGAAATGAAAACTCATGCACTCACAAAACCTGTGCACAGGGCCGGGCATGCTGGCTCACACCGGTAATTTCATCTCTTTGGGAGGCCAAGGCAGGCGGATCACTTCAAGCTCAGGAGTTTGAGACTACCCTGGTCAACATGGTGAAACCCCATC